AGATGGAATAAGCAAGGAGGTTAAAGATGACGCATTTCAGCTGTGTGGGACTGCAGAGTAATGAGGCTTGGGGCCTCTGCGGCCCAATGGCAGGAGCCCAGGGACGCAACAGGTCCTCTGATTTGACCTAGAGTACAGCACAAACTCTTAACCAGCAGTAGTAGGAGCAGAACCTTATAAACAATGTTTTATTTCAGCTACAACTACTACAGACAACTCAATCCATACTCTCTTTCTCCAGCTGATTACTGAAATACTGAAGCACACTGCGCCACCGTAAAGCACCAAATGTCAAGACCTGAAAGCATTTTGTACAACTACAGTAGCCAAATAAGGGTGTGTTACTTATGGAACCTTGTAGATGCAGTAAGAAAGGTTTCTCTGGCACAGGAATAGCTGGAAAGTTTAGGCACTTAATCACTGAAAGGTCCAAGTTATGTTTAAATAAAATGTCAATTACCAGTTACATAAAGCTTAAAGGAGATGTGGCATCCCAATATTTTTTTTTATCTTGCTAGGATCAAAGATTTGCTTACGCGTGTCCCATCAAACATTAGTTGAGAGATGGAGTACACCAGCTTTACAGAGCTAACACTGAGAGAAGCAACTATTCACCTACAGCTAATGTAGGATCACAAATGATCTTCGCATGCATTATCTTTGGAACATGGAGGAAAATAACACATGCATATGTAGACCATATAAAGTCACCACACCTGTAGAGTCCAAGCCACTGCACTGCCATGTTGTTTCCAATCCAATCAGTACAATTTTTTATAACATATATATAATTTTATATTGGTCTTTTTTCTGAAAGTTTCAAAATAAACTAATCGTTTGTTGATAATGATGGTAATTATTAGGTCCTGATCTTTGATTCCTTTCCTCTATTAACATACAGTACACATTTGCATTCATTCATTCTATATATGGTGGATTAAGATTAGGATTAAAAGTAAGGACGCGATGGGCCGTTATTAATCAAATCAAATGTAATCCATGGACTTTTCTTTACCTGTTTGATACATTCACATATGTACCTGTATATGAATTGACCCTCCAAAGCTGTTGCTAGTTTTTATGTATTGCCAACGTTTAAGTCTTGTATATAGAGTCTATAAAATATAAGACTATAATTTTAATCTTTGTGTCAGACTACAGCCCAGAATATTTAATCCATTTTATGAAGCATAGCTTTTTTTGTGTTAGACAGAAACAGTCTGTAAAACTCATTTACTGGAAAGACAGAATGGATGTTTCTGCTTGTGTGTAATGGTAAAAAGAGGAGGGATTTTCTGCTCTTAATTCCTTCTTGATATTTCAGCACTTTCTGTCAATTGCAAAAACCCAGATGTTGTACATACAAGTGAAAATTCCAATACAATTGACACAGAGGAGAAGTATATAAACCAAGAACAGATGAATTTAGTCTAGTCATGTCTAGTTTATTTCTATAGCCTTTAATCACACTTAGTCTCAAAGGTCCTAACACCCACATTATGAAACCAATAAATGATAATGACACATGGTAACGTTACACTCTCATTGAGGACAAGTAAACTCCCTGAAAAAGGTCACCAGGGAACAAAATGTAAGAAACATTCAGGACTGCACAGAAAGCGAGCATGCTTTTAGGATTAATGACACATTGAACACATTTATTAATGTGAAACAGTCCCCCTTTCCACAAGAGCCTAATCACCCCCTGTCACCATGAATCATACAGTTAACACTCCAAGTGCATAAGACGGAGGGAATTGCTACGTGAGGATCCTCATGAAGCCTTTTTAAGAATCTGGTCGATTCTTTTGGGCAGCTCATTCCTCTGCTCTCCACCGCAAAGGGTACCAAAGATGTTTCCTCATCATGTCGAGGCTTAACCCATGACCAAGGTTAGAAAATCCTCCAAAACCTCAAAACGTTCAGAGAGGCAAGTGAGGCCAGAGCCAAAAAACCCTTGTGATGTGGAGCAGCCACGACACGCAAAAGGGTGGAAAAGGGGAAGCTGATCTTATACCAGTTAACGTTGGACACGAGATTCGTTTTATCAGCCTGCCATTGAATATAAAATACACTCAATGGGCCTGAAAATGAAAGCAACTTTTGACAATAACTGGAACTGAACTGTGACTTTCCCATGCTGTGCTTAAAGAATATTCTGCAAGTAGAGCTTATATCCTGCTGTGTTTCAGTGAGGCTGACACAGCCCGATGGATGCTACACTATAGAACAACTCGGCAATCATAGCAACAGCTGTAGATTTTAGCCAGAAGAACAAGAACAACCGTGTTGAAAAACAGGGAAGATGCCTCAACAGCTCCCTTTGCCCAGAAAGGACTCTTGAGTGATATTTGTAGTCTTTAATACAGAATGCTGTGCAGCTCAGAGGACAGGTCAGTTTCTGACACTCATGTCAGTGACAGTTTTACGGGAACTGCTGAAATGTTTGCAAGTGTAAATGCATCATCATCATCATCATTAAATCGGGACATTCCTCTTAAATCACACTGTTTGGAGGGGGGAGGGAAGGATGAATACAGCAGTATGCTGACAGATACTATCCTCATCCTGAAACTAATTTTGGTTCATAACAGGAAAAGGATGGATTTCAACAAAGCACAGATGGTGCATAAAGCAACAGTCTTTATTGCCATCACTCGAGGAAGTCCTTGTCAGGCTGGTTGCTGTTGCATGAAGACTTTTTGCTCCAGTATCATTTGTCCCACTGCTATTGTCTACAAAAACATTGTTACACTATGAATGTGATCCGGCATGTGTCATAGAGAAACTCAAGTCCAACACCAGTGACGAGGAGAATCTGCGGAAGCAGGTTGTCTGCCGCCTGTCCTGCACTTCTGCCGGAGGGTATTTTATCAAACATAGATTTCCCTTCCTGAGATGGAGTCAACCAGAGGTTTTGTGTTTTCCCAGGCGAATGAAAAATTCACTCTGTTTATCATGGGATTATGGGAAAAAATCAAGACGGAGGAGGAAACAATCAATGGGAAAATAAATAGAGAGCTGAATGTTACACCACAGGAAACAGGTTTTGAACCTAAACAGTTGGGCACACTGTAGATATATATGAAGACCTCTATCTGCTGCCTGTCCAAAAGACTCATCCCCAACAGAGTGGGAATGACCTTCCACTTTGGTGTACTGTTGTTCCAGCTATCGCCACCAGAGGATGAAAACACTGGTTCTGTCAGACGTTAGTGTAAAGGCAGGCTGACCTCTCTATGTGTATAAAGGTTGTAGGTAATAGTGTTTATATTTGAGTGGGTGGGTTAACAGTTTGGATTAGTTTTATATAATGTTATTCATGTTTAGGTATGTATTTAATGTTTCTGGCTTATTGCCAGTACCTGTTTCACTTTCATTGTCAGTCTTGAGGCTCGCTGTCACATCCTGTCAGACCACAAATGATAATTCTGGATCCCCACGTTTTGTGTTTTTCAGAGTCTTCCCTTGGCAAGTATAAACAGTACAATGGAAGGTAAGGAGTTCTTCGAGTTTCAAGCTTTTAAGTCTGCATGTCCTGGATAAAATGAGTTAATAAAACTTTCTTCGAAAGAGTAGCTCTGACTCTTTTGTTACGCTGTATTTTCTAGTGTTTTTGGTTTAGAGAAAATAAAAGGGGGAGACTAGAGTTTAACAAAAATATATTCCCTCGTTGTGCTCGTCACGCAATGCTGAAAAATACAAATGACTTAGTTCTTTACTCTTGCATGCTAGTTAGTCATCGAATTTCATCTGAATATAGAGCACAGCAGAGCATGTCTAGGCTAGCAACGATTACTCAACTGCTGACCTTCTCTCTTCATATCCTTTTGCTCCCTTACATTGCTATACATTAATGCTAATTAAAGAGGAATGCACTGGTAGAACTTGCAGGCAGAAATGACTGCATGGACGTCTAAGAGCCAGATCAGCAGAAGGCATGCAGTCCACTCAAGAGGCACTAACTGGCCATTGAACTGTCCCTTTGCACTGTACTACATTACAGTTCGTGGCCTCATCTCCTTACCATGGATGCTTCCCCAGCCGTCTCCTCCCAGCCTGTCTGCTTTTATAAACAGCTGTTGTAGTGTAAGGCTCCATTTGGTGACCTCTGAGGGTCACCACAGTCCCAGAGGTGCCTGCGGGGCAACTCCAGTTCCAGATCCAGCAGGGTTCTGTTCATGGCCATGTTCCCAGTGTTTGTTTTCTCTTACTTCTCTGTTTGGCCATAGTTGTCCCTGTTCTTCCTCCACAGTCTCCCCAAAGCAACTAGGACACTTTCACACATGTACTCCCACAGGAAAGCACACTGTACATTAAACAAATGTTTTTTTTCCCCCTGAAAATGAAAACAGGATACATACTGGTGTATAGGTTTCTGTGTACAAGGCATGAAAGCATGTCATTGCTGGATTACTGAGCTAATTACCAGTACTGTTTGTGTAGAACTGTATCATCTTTAAGTTTAGCTTTTTTAGCTGTCAAATACGATCGATATTGTCACAGTAAGATGAAAAACTGATCGCTAACCAAATAAAAATGCAGAGAAGTCCCAGAAAAAAGATGGCACTGCTTTATACTTTGCCTACTCTTATTCACAGTGCTTGTGTTTGAAAAAGTTTGGGGTCGCAGCTTTTGCCGCACCATTGAGAAGCTGGTGGAGGTGGTGCAGGAATACCCATCGGAGGTGGAGCACATCTACAGCCCCTCCTGCGTTCCCCTGGTGAGGTGCGCTGGCTGTTGCGGAGATGAGAACCTGGAGTGTCATCCCACTCAAACCACAAACGTTACCATGCAGGTAAGACCTAAGTGTTGTGCAACATAAGTGTGAGTTATAACTCGTAGCTGTGAGCGCTTCATGAGATCGTTTTGACAAATCTCCGTTTCACCTCCACCCCTCCTCCATTCCCAGCTTTTGAAAATCAGGCCATCAGAACAAGGTCAAGAATATGTTGAGATGACGTTTGTGGAGCATCAAACATGTGAATGTAGGTAAGAAAAAAAGAAGGGTGTTGTGACATAAGTTATTGATAAGTATGAAAAATATAAACCCTGTCTCCTGGAAGTCATGTTTATGTTTCTCATACATTCATCTCCAAAAACTTGAATTGAATACCTAACAGAAAATAAAGTTGTTTTCCTAAAGATTCCTGCACTGTCGACACACTATCTGCTAATCGAGTTTGGTCATTAGTAGCAGGCAGCATAAACGTAACTTCTAGAAGACTGGGTGACTCTCACAGACTTTTAAATGTTGTACCTGGACATTCATGTTAATTTATCGAAACCTTTGCCCTCAGAATCAGGAAACCTGTTGTGAAGGTTCCAAAGTAAGGGAATATTCTTACAATATCAATTTTGCTATTTGTCAAAAAACGCAAGCTTTTTTTATAATTTGGTTCTTGGTTCAGGAAAAGGCGAAGAGGAAGGAAGAGGAAGGAGAGACAAAAAAAGAAGGAATGTGACAGGTGAGGGGCACACGGGGGGGAGAAAACGTTCACATATCCACCATTTTATCTTATTACAGCTTTTAACAGAGGCTACGTTATCACTTGTGTTCTACAGGTGCCAGGTTCCTCGCAGGTAACTGCAGTGGCGACCCAACCCCCTGTTGCAGTGTGGCTCACTATTTGTTTCCAGCCCAGTGGGAGCATCAAAAGTCTCCTTCACTCATCTATCAATACTGTGTCTGCAGCAAGAGACTCAAACAGCTGGGTTGATTTGCTGACATGCCCTTATGCTGATGGGCAGGGTGTTTTTGTAACGACAAGGTTTAACAGGAAGTGCGTTTTGACTGGTGGAAACACTGCTGTTACAAGCCTGAAACAATGGACATCCCTGGGAGCCAGTGCAATGTAGAGCCAAACAGACTGATGTCTTCTTTTTATGCTAGGTATTACTGTATCAGTTATTATTTGTCAAATCCTTTGGTATTTAAAAGAAGGTTACACATGTAAAAAAGAAGAAAAGTCTATATTTATTAATATAGTTGGACCAGAGAACACCTTGTGGACTTGATGTGCAACTTCTTTGTACATGCGATAAGGAAATGTCTCCCTCTAGTGTTTATGGAAAGTGTTTTTAAACCTCTATATTAAAGTATTTTGCAATCAGATCATCATCATATCTGAGATCTGTTCCAAAAGCCATTGTTGCGTAATTGCTTGGTGTGTATAAATCAAACTCTTTAACAGCATCATGTGACCTGAATGGGAAAACAACATTTAGCAGAAATGTTCATAAAGCGAAGATTTTCCCAAAACTTCAAACTTTCCATATTTATGGAATCCAGCATACAGATGTTCTCCTAACAAGAGGCTAATCTTGATTATCTGGCCCATTCATCTGAAATGAACATATGGATGCACAGTGGGTGTGGCGAGATCAACGGCAACCGGCACATTCGTGTTAAAATAATGAATACACTTATGTTTGAGTAGCACACATGTTTTTGCAAGAGTAGAAATTCCTCGTTTCAATTTTTTCATTTATAATTTTGATCAAAACATCCTCGGATATTTCAGCTCGCCCATCATGCATTTCCAACTCAGGACCAAATACCCATGCGTTGCTTGTTTAGTCGCTCACAGTAAACAGGTTGCAGTTCTATGACAATACATGAGCCTTCAGGAGGGTATTTGAGGTATGCAGATTGAATTAAATACTGTACAGAGAGGCAGTGCACATCAGAGGGTTGGACCCAGTTTTTGGCAAACCACTCATTTTTTCTCGAGTGTCAGTCACAAGGACATAACATACGGTGCACGTTCAATGATACACTACTTCACTCTGCCTGTGCCTGTACTTGAAACATATCAAGGACCATACAACTAATACCCACAAGGCTTCCTTTGAATGCCGTGGAATATTTGGTGTGGTATGTTTCTTACTGTGGTGTGAGCAAATAAGTGAAATGTGAATTCAGATTTAAGTATTCCAGTGGGATATATCCAGTATATATTGTCTTATCTACTTGTCAAAGTAATGGTTGTGGAGGAGGCTCGAGCCTGCCTGTCCCTGACCTTGGGCAGGAAAGAGGGTACACTCCAGACAGCTCACCGGCGTGTCTACGGAATAAAAATTCTTAAAGTTGAAATTTAAAAACAGTGCTATGACAGGTTAAAAGTAATTGCACTGCATGGAGTGCTGCAGCAACAGGGGAAAGCTTGAATACAAATTATTTTTGCTTTTTATAGCCGTTAAAACATCATGTAAGCCCTCAAAATCTTTTTTTATTAGATTCCAAGCTTGAGCTCCCACATGTAAAAGCATTAGTTACGGTCTCAAATGTTCATCCCATATGCTGTGTGCAGCTGAACAGCACAACCTTGTGTCCAACTAGTGACTCAACAATCCCATAATCCCACACCACAGGTGTCATCCTCTGTTTCTAGAAACACTGCAACATGGAAGGGATGAAGTTTCGTAGATATGTTAAATGGCGTTTGTTTGTTTCATGTATCATATAAAGAAAATCTATGAAAATGTAAAAATAGCATTTTGACTGACGTAGTGTTTTATTTCATTTAAATATTTATTTTGTAATAAAACTGTTATGATTGTCAGCTTGTCTTGTGTAATTGTTTAGTAATTCCAGTTGTATTCAATAATTATATACCAGTAGGCAATCCTAATAGATGTACCAACTGCTGGCAGTCTTAATCTGTTTCACATTATCACAAATAATAGCAAACTATATGATAGGCCGTTTACATTTGTAGGCTAAAATATCAAACACGGTAGATTTTTTTTAAAAAAAGACGTTTTTCAGCCTAAACAACTAGTCTGATGGGGTTACGCACACCATAGCGTAACCCCATCAGAGCATAAGTCTGAAAACAAGCTCCTCTTTCGCCAACCCCAAGAATAAAACATGTACTTCACCCGTTTCCGTAGCAACCTTTATGTATCAGGTTATTAAAGCCCTTAATAGTGTCTCACAGGGAGTTGTTGTTCCCGTCACAGCTCTTAAAAGTAGACTTCTTAAAACCACCTAAATTACAACCACTAAAAACTGGACTTATAACCCCATCATCTGAAAACCCTTACTTACTTTTAGAAACTTATCCAGGAGGTTGCCGTAACAGACAATAAAGTTGCAAATGTGTTTTGCGCTTTTTTGTTAAAAAAAGATTAAAAAATATGATTATTATTTAATACTTTCAGAAATGTATTCCATAACAAACTAATTCACAGCATGAATACTTAAATGCAAATGTTTTTCTGTCACCGATTTGTTTAAAACCATATCTGCGTGAATGCGCGCACGTAATTGTGTTTACCTTTAAGACCGCGTGGAGGGCGTTTATTTTGTAGAGCACTTTTGTAGAGCTGGCGTTAGCAACACGGGAGTTGGGTGGCTTTAACTAGCCACATATTTTCAAGCTACTAAAGTCGGATTTTCGCTTTGAAGCAAACGACGTCTTGGTAAGGTTTGTCGAAATTATGCTGGTACTCATATTGCTTGCTTATCGATCTCGTGATAGCAAGAGTTCTGATCTAAAGCTACGGTCGCTAGCAGCTAGCGTTACCCAGCTAAATGAATAGTAAACAGATAAAACATACTGTCGATGATACAGACAGCAGCTAATGTTGCTTTCCATATTTTGTTATTGCAGAAGCACATTTGTGTAACCCTAAAGCTGTGTGTGTTTGTGTCGCGTACGTTGTTTGACGTTAACGGCCAATGTTGACAAAGTTGCGTGTATAGCAAAACAATGCTAGCTGTAGCTAGTTAAGAAGTTATAAACGCTGGAGTGTTCAGCATCCCAGCTTTATAACAATGATTGTCTGCACTAACTTCTTTATTTGTTGTTTTTGCTGGGTAAGTACGACATTGTTTTGTTTTGTTTTTTTAAAGTGTGTCTTGCCATGACTAGCCATCGCAGTGAGTGGTTGTGGGAGGGTCACAGGCCCTTCATCCAATCGTTCAGCTCGAGTTTGTAAAATGGGAGACGTAAGGCAGATAATAATACGCTTTTATGATGTTTTAATCTGTTTATTATGCATCTTAAAACATTACGTAATCCCGTTTGTGGGTGTGCGCCTGCTCTTTTCAGCATGTTGAAAAATAAATACAGTCATGTACAGTATGAATGCAAAGTACAGGCCTTAAACGTGAAGTGATGATCAGTCTTGTAAACAATTCAAAGTAGAAGCTCTAAAAAGACAGATTACGTATTAACTAGAGGTGAGTGTTTATACTGTGACTGTTGTGCTTTTAGTCATTATACACTGTAAATCGTATATAGTAATGAGTTACTATGAAAAAATTATAGGCAAGGACAAATTAAGGGAACAACCTGAAGCCTTGGCCCTGCTGTGTCTGAGTGGCCACCTTTATCTTGTGATTGTTTACAATTATAATTGGCTGCTGTTTATTTATTTGTTCCTAATTTATATTTTATATAACTAGATTGTCACGTAAGATATGACATGTGAAACAGGTAGGTTTGCTAAGGCCTAAATATTGTAGTTTATAAAGGTTTTTAAAATGTGTAAATTATTAGCAAAAACAGTCATTGTGACCCATCTGTCTGTAGCCAAAGATCTTTAAAAAGTCTCAATGTCTTCCATAGCCAAATAGTCTATGTGTCACCTGTCATGAAAAAAATCCAAAGAAATGGAATATTACTGTTTTAAAATGGACATGCTACTTATAGATATTTAATATTCTCTCCTTCCCAAGTCACAGAATGGATTTAAAAATAAAGAAAAAATGTCATCAAACTGTATCACAAACTTGCATAAGACTGTCCTGGAGAAATTAAGTTGCAGTTATTTAACTTCGTCTGTCCATGTGTTTTTGTTTTTTTCTTTTGTTTTTCTCCTGGATAGACCATCATGAACCGGTTTAATCAACCAGGCAGTCACAGGACTCTGCCGTTCACCCGGACATCGCACCTTGGAACATGCAAACAAGACCTGGAAAGAGATTCAGGCTTCTCAGGTTTGATTTGCTTACATTCAAAAAAAAAACTAGCATGCCTTTTAAGTCTTGTGATTGTGCAAAATATTCTTGATTTTGTCTGAAAGAACACGTGTCTTGACCTGGGATATAATTAGCCTTTATATAATTACAAATAATGTCTATCAGTTCATGAACAAGGTCGACCCTAATCAAATGTGGAGATCTAGGTCACATTTTCTATGTAGGTTATTTACAGTATGGGGGTTGACCTGAATTTGATTTAGCCCTTCACATTAAGATGATAGTATCCTTTTTCAGACACGCTACAGATATTTATCTACATCTGCCACTGTTTTCATACAGCTAATGTTTTTCCACACAGAGCAGAAGCCTTTCTTTTAAACATGATGAGCCTCATATATGTGTCGTGTTGTCCTCTTAGATGCTAGCTCGGAGTACCTCAGCACAGTCGAAGTGACTGACTCTGAAGACGCAGCAAGAAATGGGTCAATAGTCAGCCAGGAGCCAACTGGTCCACAGGTGGCTGTGATGGGAGGTTCATACACTGGACTGTCTCCAATGATCATCATGAACAACTTCGTGTTAAAGCAGGTAAAATATTTCAATATTTGTCTGAACAGACTACTGTGTATTTCATTACTCTTAGAGTGTTTTATTGCTATATTGTCTTTGAGCTTTAGTGCTCAATGGAGCATTGTTTGGCTCAGAGTGTTTTGTACTCTGAACTTTTAGAGAAATTAGTTAAAAGCTTAATTTTGGATGGCGTTTATTAACTCAAATTGAGCATTCAGATCTGTCTGTGCATGTTGTGGGTAATGTTGTGTTTTAACACTTTCCTTAGACTGTGTATGATCTGGGGCTGGGCAGTTTTCTTTATAATTCAATTGTGCTATCCTCTGAGATCAGCAAAAGTGATATCAATGCTGCTGAATTGGTGGTGGGTTAATGTGCACTCACTGAGGTAATAATATCCACTCCCAGTAAGCCATACTTTGTACCCCAAACACACCAAAAGCAATAATGCTACTGTTTGATGATGATTCAGCCTGCCATAATTAGAGTTTATAATAGAACAGTTATTAGCTGAACAGTGAAAACATTATTACATCATTACCTATAGCTGCCTCTCCTTTTTTTTTTTTTTTTAACTTTTTTTTTGGGGGGGGGGGCTACAATCCTCCTAAGTTGTTCAGTCTGTGTTTACTTGTGTAAAATCTCTCACTACTCTACACCATGCTCTCACCACACACAGTGGCCTCTTTCACCGACAAACACACACATACACCCACAAAAGTTGAAAGCGTGAGATAAACAGCGAACCCGGCAAGCACTCACATGGAGCTCTTGTTTAAATAAAACAACAGATAGAAACACCCTCTGTTTTGTCTCACTTTGATATTATGATGATGGTTCAGTGTAGCAGGTCCTCCCCCTAACACACAGACACACTTAAGTCATTCATCCATTTCAAAGTGGAAGCGAGGCCTCTCAAGTATCTTATTATAATGCAGAGATGCCAACAGCAGAACTAACCAGACACATTAAATGTAATATAAATGGAAGCTTGACAATCCCTGAGATCATCAACTATAACCCTGTAACTCTGTCATGCACTTTATGTTTAACAGCTACCATATTATAGATAGTATAAGAAATGTTTTATAACATTAAAGGTCTGTTTGTTTGTTTTTTTTCTTATTTTCTAGCAATCATCCACAGCTCCAGCAGAAAAACAGTGGAACTTTCCTTCACCATTGGAAATAATGCCTCAGTCACAAGTGGTTCTTCTTCAACCCATGCTATCAAATGACAACAACAGCTCTCCAAAGACTGGCTCTGAAAACACGCGACAGTCAAAAAGCTACATGCCCATCCTCAAATCATATCCCAAAATTGCCCCGCATCCCATGGACACACCCACTAAGAGGGTAGGATCCTCAAGGGTGAGGGGGAGTACAGCAGCAGGATATAACCAGCGACAGAGGAGGCATCATCATGGCCACAGGGTGTACAGCACCCCCAGCCCCCTGTCAGCACTGCAGATGACAGCCCAAACCACATCCAACTTTGAAGCACCAACAAACCAAGCACAGAGTCAAGAGCAGCTTATCAAGTCTTTTTCCTCACAGGTAGGAACCAGCTCCCTGCCCTCCTACACAGATGAATTTAGGACTCTAGCAGAAGACAACAGGATGCTTGATGACGAATTCGAGGATGAGGACTCGATGCGCACTAATAAGGAGAAACGCTTCAGCAATACCTACAACATACTCAACAAGTCCGGCTTGCTGGGGATCACCATGCGCACAAAGCAGCTGATCAAAGAGAATAAGCGCACCCAAGACCAGCTGCAGCAGCTTCAGGAGCAGACGACTCTGCTGCTGGAGGCTCTGAGCAGTGGAAACCCACAACTCTGGACTAAACTCCAGCTTTCTCTCCAGGACACAGAAAAGGAACAGTGGGGGGCGAAACCGCAGAGCATCCTAGCTTAAAATATGTACGGACATAATCAGTGGTCCTGAATCTGGAGACGAGGATTAATCAGGAGGCCACAGGGGGATTTAATAAATGTGGACAAATTGTGTTAAATATACTCTTGAACTAAACTTTAAGCTTTCAGACCTTTATCAGTAGGCTGTAGGTATTAATCACTTTCTGCAGCAAAGTTAAGAAATTAGACAGTTTTGGAGCAGCTGGTTGGATATAAAACTAAAGGTCTGTCTCATATTGCATGTTGTTGTTCTGACGACATCAGAATTGATATTACTCCAGGACCGTCACTTCAAACGACCGGTCACATTGTTGGGATGCAGTAGCTTTGCAACTTCGTGATAAAGGATGGTGGAAAAACCAGCAGAAGTGATATGGGAAGTCAAAAGCTATTTTCAGCTGCTCCATTGTCACAAGGGTCCCCACAGTGGGTAGTTCCACATGTTTGATTTGGCAGAGTTATTATTCCAGATGCAACCCTAAAGGGGATTTCTGTCTCCAACCTAAATATCATTACGGAGTTGAAGAATGGGAATTCAGAAAATGTGACATAAAGAGCAAGAAAGTCTGTATAGATGACATATCAGGGTAGATGAATAGGTTATATTCAGTCATATAGTGCTGATCTGCCCAGCCAAACATCTTCACAGGATAGCAGTAATTATATTTGCTGCTTGTGGTGACATTTCCTATACTTCTTACCCTTAGCAGTGTCAACAGTGACTGGGCTAGTAGAGCAGAAGATATCATTGGCATGCTTAACAAGTGTTTGTGTTTTTGCTCTCAGTCCCAGAAGAGGAAGGCAAAAATTTGCACTGCTGGTTTAAGCTTAAGCAATGAAACTACATAGCTACATTTATGGGGTTGCAGTTGCAGTTTTAACTGCATGTTAGAAAAAGGCAGAGTCATTTGCTCTTTTTCTCTTAGTTGCACAGTCGTGACGCAACAATGTGATCGGTCCACAGACACTAAAACGCTGACATCAGATCGTGCTGAGGTCGAAGCAGCCGTTCTTATGAGATGGGAGTTAGGAAGCATGCTTGTATTTCGAACCGTTGCCTATAATGAATTTTCTTGCCTCTTCTGTTTCAAAATAGCAAGTATCACTTGCAATAGGGCTATGGCTTCTGTGTCAAACTCCTAAGTGTAGGGATGCACTGATTGTGAAGTACTGACACCAGTGTTTAGCCGATAGCCCAGGCTGATACGTTTTTATTTTTCTCTTTGTTTTGTTGAAAAGTTGCAAATGTTTAAAATTCTTTCATACTTTGTCACGCTACCTTTTCTCATTAAAACCAGCTCAAAATTGATGCCACACTGTAGATAAACACTGGCCTCTCACTTTGATAAGTGTTGTCTTACGTGCTGAGAAGCCAGTGGTCATCCACATGATTGATTTCAGTTCGTAATGATGTTCGGTCAATATATCGGTGCATCCCTACTTGATTGCATTAATGCATGCCTTACAGCACATACAAAGACACATGGGGTTTACTCCTTATACGTGGCATGAATGTTGCTAGTGTGGAGAAAGTATGAGGGTTATTTACTTCTTAGATCAAATCCATCTTTCATCTTTAGTCAGCAGGTTCCTGTGATCTTTGTTTTTCTTTATCCTTTATTTCTAAACTGGTAAATCAAACTGATAGAGCTGATGCATCTTTTGTAGGAAGTGTCTTTTCAAACGGTGTCTGATTCACAGAGAGTTCAGATGGCTTGCTAAATCGTAACAGTTTGTTTTTCGTTTAATGGAAGTTTATTTGGTGTCAGTATTATTTATTTGTAATGATGTTTCTGACCAAGACTAAAGTTGTGTGAATACTGTAAACGGAGATTATTGCACGGATTTGGCCAGTTCTGGTAAAGTAGGCTTCTTTTTTTATTATTATTATTATTAAATAGAAACTTCATACCTACAGCTTGTAGCAGGTGATGTGCTGTAGCTATATAACTGTGTTGCCTTTGGATTTGTTGCTCTCATGTTCATTCCTGCTTTAATTTTTGCTTATTATTTAGTATTAATTTAAACTTTAAAACAATGAAGTGGGCTTGTTTTGTTTCATTTCTCAGATTTCTGAGTTGCCTCTGAACATAAGCATAAGATAATGTGAATATAAATGTTTATCAGAAGCCCTGCACCTCTTTTTTTTTTTTTTACCGGTAAGTTAATGTTGTATGTTATGTCGATGCTTAAGCAGCTAAGATTTCTTTATTTCTTTTTGAGCTTAATTTGGGAGAAAGTTTAATATACTTAAGGGTTTCCAAAGATTTATTCTTCTTTGAAGTTGTATAACCACCCACAGTGTGGTTAGATAATGCATTCAAAGTTACAGTATAGAAATCATAAGCACAAGTTAAATATTAAGTCTAGGTTCACTTTGATTTGTTTTCAGGACCACGATTTGCATACCCCAACATTAGTAATTAACCTGAATATTAAAAATGAATCAAAAGCAGCCTTGGTTTTAAAAGGGCAAAAGGAGGGTGGCAAATTACTACAGTTTGGATACCTTTTTTTTTTCTGATATTGTCAAGTGTGCTTTGTGTAAAACTGTTGGAAGACCAGTGTGTCATTATTAAAGACAATAATTAATCACTTGCTGTGATTTGAATACTTTTATTGGTATAACAGGAATAGACAAAATATCTCTAGAAAGTATACTTATTCAAACCCAAAACCTGTTCGACATGAGCAGTGTATTTGTAGCTGGAGTCACAGAATAACAGTGAAAAGTCCTTAATAATAATATTATTATGCAGAGCGCCTTATTATTAGCAGTGTAGTGAATACCTCATCTTTGGGGTCAGCTATAAGCAAATAAGAAATGACTTTATGGCACATTGTGAATAATAACCCTGGATAATCGGATATTAATCATCTTCCCCACCCATTTTCCAAAGGAGCATTCCCTCTTCACACTGCCTGAGTCACATTACTTTGAGTAGAGTACATCAGGCTAAACATGTAATTGTCACAACACTATTGTCAAGCCCGGCAGTTTATGCTGCAGACAAACGGCTTCCTTGTCTGATAGCCCTTAACGACAAACGAGAGTCATTGTCACGAAAACTACCCGGAGTTTCCTGAACGTCGCTTTGTAGCATCTTAATAGGATGTGTGGAAGAATATTGCACTTTGATAATCTCAGAGCACCGCATGGCACAGGCTGTCAAATAATACAAAATTGCAAAGCTGTGAAGGCATGCAAAGCCATCTTTATATTTTGATGCAAGCGTTTATAGTAGCGTAAGTAAAACTGCTGGATTTCCAAAAATGACCAACTTATTTGTCTTAATATTGCCTTTTTAAAAAGCTACCTAAAGGATACACTTAGACTACGCGCTTATTTCACATTGCTTGTATGGCTCCTGTCCTTAAAGGAATGTGTGCTAACAGCTATTTCACAGACTATTTGAAACGTCAAAAAGCATCCTCTCTGTGTTCAAAATCGTTCCCCACATGGGTCTTTAGACAGCATTTTCTACAACATGTGTCACTTTTTTGACCTGTGAGGAGCTATTGTTACGATATGAGGTTTTTCTTCAGTCCTCTTTATGGGCATCTGCGTCTTCAGAGCACGTCTCTACTGTCTGCACAGGCAGTATAAGACCAAGCATCCAGCGGGTGCCAAAGACGTCCTTGAGGTTAGCTCTCCAGGGGTTGCAATTCTCTGCAAGTTGCCCTCTCTGCATCTGACACCATGTCTGCCCCCGGGCCACCAGCAGCACCTGCTGACAACAGAAACCTGCACACACCAAACCGATGCCCAGCCACACGTACAGCATCAGCACCAGGAACAACTGCAGGCCTGAGATTGTTCCTGTGAGGAGATATTGAGGAGGAGAAATTACTGTCGCATATATTATTGTTAGAATGGTGGATGGTTGTAGTAAAGAAAAGAGTATTAAATGAGGTCAGTGTATATACAAGTAATACCTGTTAGCCTGAAGCTCAGGCAGACTGACCTAAATGCTTAGTTTAAGACCATTTTGATCTCAGTGAAAGCAAATATCATTAGTGTGGCCTAGCTTTGCTAAAGCCCTGCCGCCGTGCTGTTTTAACCTTCTGTATGCAAGGGGCATCTAATCAGGACAAAGTTAGCTGAACGTGCATGAACTGAGAGGCTGCGCCAAGATCCAGTTTGTGAATCATGCAAACTCTAGCAGACTCCAACAATAAAAATATTGAGTTGTTAATTGGTGTCCCCTCTGCGATATCAGCTTTAATGGAAAACTCACCCATGAAGAAGTAACCAGTGGAGAACGGGAGAAGAGTCAAAAAGGTCAGGGGGTTCTCAAAAGAGATAGAGTACTCCACTGTTAGAAAGGCCACGCCAAGAACCAAAGAGTATAAACATGTGCAGGATGTGTAGATGCAGAACATGATGAAGTAGCGCATGTTTTTGTTGCCGATGCAGTTTCCAGTGAAGAAACAGTGGTGGTCCCTCTTAAGGATAACCTTCTTGCAAAGTTTGCAGAAGTGACGGCCGTTTAGGAGGTAGTGCGCGTCCACTTTATCTGAGCAGTGAGGTGAACACACTGGAATCACAGTCTCGTTGGCACTCTCAGCTGGGTATTTAATAGTCATTATGTAGTTCCCTAACGCATTGAACATCAAGAAAAGGAACATAACTGTATGTAAAACTTTGGACCCGTCCAGTGATGTACCCTGACTTGGGAAAATTGTTGGAATGAAGAAGCCAAAGTGAAAAATGAAGGTAACTGCTGTAGCCGTAAAAAAGTACGCAGGTGCTACAGCGTTGAGAAGTCTCAGTTTTAACATCCGGGTGAACATATCTGTGTGGGAGCAAAGAACACAGTTAGCAGTGCAAGTGCAAGTAACTGTAAACGTAACTGCGCAGAAGTTTCTGGTCAGTTTGAAATGTTCTTTCTTCTGAAAGCAAAGCACATTTGTTTGTATCTAATATAACAAGAACAATGACCCAAAATGGTCTAAATCACAACTAATGGTCTGTGGAATCATAAATGATTTATCATTTTAAATGGAACATGATAATAAATTGAATAAACTGGCCTGTTTACATCAACCACCGCTCTTTCTGTGCACATTATGTTACTTAGTTCAAGTTTATTGTGCTAAAAGTCTAACTGGGCATGCGTAGAGAGCTGAACACAGTTGTGGTCAGAGGTTTAGATTCACTCATCATGGGCATCATACTCCCTTTACAAACCACCCCATGTTGGCTTGTATGGGTGTTTATCCTTTTTTAGGTAAAGGCCCTGATGTTTGCACAGTTTTGTGGAGGGAGCAGTACTTCCTGTTTTATAAAATCTGTTCTTGCTCTCTCTCCTCTCTCTTTTGTTTTTTTTTTTTTTGTTTTGTTTTTTTTAATTTACTGCATGAATTAACTTTTATTCCTTAAGGACAAAGTGATCATTTTCCAGTCCTTTTTTTTAAATTTAGAGACTATAATCAGACTGAGACAGCCAATACAGGCACTTATTTAGCTGCACTTATTGCTTCTCCAATCAGCACACTATTTTCAGTTGTGCTGACATAATTGAAAAATGGTTTTTCTAATGACTAATCAGGCTTTTAATATAACAAACTTGCATTAGGAAACACGAGGTGCCATCAAACACGCATTTGCTGAAAATAGGTCTCTGTATGCAAACACAGGTATTCATGATGAATCACTCTCAACACTTTTTACCAATTTCATGTTAGATGCAAACACAAACGTGCAGCCAAAACAGAAGATACTATAGTACAGTTTTAGCAAATAGACAAAACAAATTCTCAGCTTATGAGGATTGCTAAGTACTTAAAGAATTGGCAGTGCTGTTTGCAATTTAAGGGGCATCAATAGTCTTAATCCAGCAGTAAAGTCATTTAGTTGTAGGGAGATTATTACGTTAAGATACTTGAATTAAATAGTAGCAAATTGGAGGGAATGACCCTTCCAAGGACACAGTTTGGTTTGAGGAGAGATCAGGTAGTTCTTCCTTTCCATTGTGTCCAAGTGGTTGTTCACAGGGGATAACTGTTTAGTTCTATGTCTACTACTGAATGCTCTTTACCTGACAATATGAAACCCTGAAATAAATCACACTGAATTTAAACCATTTACAAAGAGCACAGTGCAGAAATGTGAATAGAAGAGAGAATGTAAGCCTGCCGCTTAGAGTTAAAAACTAATTTCTGAGCAAAGTGGGGGTGGGGGACTCCCAGGGGCCACTGAGAATAGCAGTAATGTCTTATCCCTCCCTCTGTCATCGCATAACCTGCAGCACTGAAGGATGTGCAAATCAAAAGATAGCAAACGACGAAAAGGAAAGAGGGCGGTCTTGCAGACCAAATTTAAAAGTTGGTCTTTACGTCCCTCATTAGAGGGCATCGACAGTGTGGATGCTACAGAAAACAGAAAGCATTTATAATATAACCGTAGTTATCCATCTCCTTCGTGTTCTGTTTTCTTTCAGAATTACATTATATCGTTTCCAGTATGTTAATGATTGCGCCAGTAATGTTATTTCCCCATAATTTCATCTCCATGGCGCGACGCATCTGCCTACCTGCAGATGTCAGAGAGCGGAGGAGCTGTCCTTTCAGCACTACGGAGCCTCGGAGCTCAGGAGCTTCTTCAAACGCACACAAGAAGGTTTCTTTGAGAGGCACTGACGTCGTTTTTACATCACCACATTAACTCCTTTGTCTACCGCCACCTGCTGGTCCGGATGCGTCTGTGTTCCTCTTTTTCTTCACGTTTCCCTGTTAACAAGACAAAAAAGAAATTTCAACAAAGCAAAACAAGTATTATTATTTTCACATGGTTAATTCCCCATATTTAATTCCATATACATCCATTCAATAAGTATATAGTTATATAATAGTACATTTTTATAAGATTAATCCTTCACTTTCTTTCCATGTGAATAACTATTATTATTACAGCATGTGAACAGTCTGCAGTGTTTAGGGTCAATGCAGGAAAGAAAGAATTCAGTAGGTGGCAATGTATCCTCAGTTATCTGACGTCCCATGCTGTTAGCGTAGAGGTCCATAAGCTAATTTTAGCAATTTCAATAAAATGAGCTTTACTCACAGGATGTAAGGCAGCTCAATGCATTTGATTTCTTTTGTTAACATGACATGACTCTCACAAACACTCCATACTAAAACACATCTTGTTGTGCAGGAGTCATAAAGGCATCAATTTTCAACATCTCACAATATAACAGGAAATTATAACTCCATTGGCAAGTCTACATGTTTACCCATCACCCAATGGACCACTATCAGTCAGGTATTGGCCTCTCCCTGTTACAAATAAATATTCTTTTTATTATTTTGTCTTTGTTTAAAGTACAATTAACTTGAGCACTAATACATTTTGCATCATATCTGTTACCAGGTTAAGTCTGAGATAGAAGTAGAGTAATGTCTCTAAAGAGCTTTCACTTCATTACTTTAGTCTAGAGACCTCTCCTTTAAGGTAACATAAGATTATTGTTAATATTAAATCCTGTCTCGCTGATATTGAGATTTCTTTTTGAAAAGACACCTGTCTGTAAAAACATATACAAAATTATAAACAGGAGATATTATATGTGTTCATAAAGTAATAAAAGCAT